CCACCTTGCATATGTTAGCTGAAATCCTCACTGCAGTTCTGTAAGGAAGGGTGAGGATGCCATGAGGAACCAGGCACCAGCTAAGTGACCTGTCCAAGGCCATGTGCTGGTGGGCAGCCAGGCCTGACTCAAAGCCAGATTTGTCTGCCTGACTCGAAAGCCCAGACCTGCTCACCCCTTCCCATCACCTCTGGAAGCTGGCAGAGGTTGGGGTGTTTGGAGCTTGTGCAGGGTCAGACCCTTGGAGGGCTTAGCCTGTGTCCAGTGCAGCCCTGGAGGGCAGCCAAGAGCAGTGGGTGGACACCTGAGAATGAGAAGGAGGCCTATACTATTGGAATGCTGCATCCTCCCACCCCCCAGGTGTGCATGGCTGTCTCCTTTGTCATTTGAATCTCAAATGAAATGCCACCTCCTCAGAGAAGCTCTCCTCTGACCACCCACCCTAAGGCTGGCCCTTTATCCCTCCCTCTCTCCCTCCCTCCTGTCCCTCTCTGGTGTTGTCTCGTTTATTTGTGTCAAGGGGCAGGATGGCAGCATGGCTGAGACCACAGACTCTGGACAGCTGGACAGACTCCTGGATCTGCTGCCACTTCCCAGCACTGTGAGCCTGGGCACGTTGCTTGGCCTCTCCCAATCCCTGCTTCCTTATCCTTCAAGCCCAGCCAGCCTCCTACCTCAGGGGCCTTGAGCACGACTCATGAATAAGGAGCGGGAAGGCGTTCTGGAAAGGCAGAGTGTGGTTCGAAGGCGTCATGACGGCTTTATGAAGTCAGAAGACAATTCTGGCTCTGATGAACGCCAAGGGATTGCGAGCAAGGCTCAGTCACTTGCCCCAAAGAAATACTTTTTCCTTTTAAGGCAATGAGTTAGATATTTATATAGTGAATTTTAGGGTCTGCTTAAAAGCCACCACTGATTGCATTTGTCTGGAAGTTGAGTCCCCAATCTTGCTTTCCAGCCATGCTCACTTCTCCATGCCCTACCTAACTCCATGCTTCTCTCAACCCTTCTGCAAATGTTCACTGAGTGATCTCTGTGCTGTGTCCCCTGCCAGGTGCCGGGAAAACCACAGTGAGGAAAAGCAGACCCATCGCGTACCACCAAGTGGTGATGGTGGGAGAGACAGAAACGAAGTGATCACAGACATAATGCTAAAATTTCAACCAGGGCAACTTGAAGGCCATGGTGCTGGGGCCACAGGTGCCTGACCAAGTCAGGAAGGTCAATAAAATGAGCTCAGGTCTGAAGGAAGAGCGGGGGTGTGGTGTGGTAGCCAGGAATGCCTTCTAGGCAGAGGCAACAGCATGTGCAAAGGCCCAGTGGCAGAGAAGCCTGGTGGGACAGAAAGAAGATCCCTCCCTCCAGTTGTCTCCTGCACTTCCCTCATCCTGGGATACCTTCCTCCCTGCACAATTCCATCTCTGCTTGCTGGAAGTCTCTCCATTCTTCAAAGCCAAGCTCAAATGTCTCCTCTTCCAGGAAGAATTCCAGGACACATCCTTCTCTCATCCCCCAGGAAGAAATGATCTCTCCTGCCTGTGATCTCCCCCATCTCCCTCAACACGTCCTGGGGTCCTCATTCATGCCACTTTGTGTGTAGACTCTGCATCCATGTCTCACCTTCTCGACCAGGGCATCAATCCCCAAGAGCAGGTACTGTGTCTTCTGTAGCACAGACTTGGAGTCACACAGTCCTGGGTTTAAAAACTAGTTAAGGCCATTTAGTTAGTGGGACTTTGCCTAAATGATCGTACATTTCTGGGCCTCAGTTTCCTCATCTGGCAAAGGGGGATAATGTGGTGGGGGGTGTTTTGGTGGCACAGCCTCCATCTGGGCTCTGAGCAGCTGTGAAAGTATGAGGCTTTTCAAAGGGATTAGAAAAAGAGGGCTTGTTATGATCCAGAAAGCCTTGGGGCTTTGAGGGCTTACAGGAGCTTAGACTCATGTAGACCTGAGTTTCCCAAATTTGCCTGATGGTAAGAAACAGCTGAGCCACTTGTTAAAAATGCAGATTCCCAGGACCCACTCCTGGGGTTCTGATTTAGCAGGTCTGGGGTAGAGACCAGGAACCTGTGTTCTGAAAAAGCTCCCATAAAGGAACCTGTGTTCTGAAAAAGCACAATTTGGTGGGGAAACTGAGGTCCAGAGGGAAGAAGTGATTTTCATGTGTGTGGTAGATTGGCTCAGTTACCCCAGTTCTTCCTCCCCTGTAACAGGAATATGTACCCACATTCTTTGCCAAGTGACTGCAGGGTCGTGAGCCTTGCTCTGGCCAATGAGACACGAGTGGCTCTTTGTGTGGCATGGCTCCCACCGTGCTCCCCCACTTCACCTGGAGAGAAACAAGCCTGGGTGGCTGCTGGTCCAATGATGAAGAGGAGGCCCATGGAACAGACTGAAGCCAACCCACATTCTGGAGTCCTGCCCAGCACAGAGAGCCTGACCAAGATTAGCCAAACTCTAGCTGGCCCACAGATTAGTGAGAGAAAATAAATGTTTATTGTTGCAAACTACTGCGTTCGGAGGTGGTTTTGTTATACAGCATTATTGCAGCAATAGCTGGTGAATATTCTAAGGTCACACAGCAAATGAATGGAAAGCTGGGATTCAAGGTAAGGTTTCTTGCTCCTAATCCAGTGCTCACTGCTCCTCTGTCTTGCCATCCTGAGGACTCCCTCTATACCCTACTCCCTGGAAACCCCTCACTTCCATACCTGCCCCATCTCTCCTCTCTGGGACATCCAGCTCCAGGCAGGAGGGGTCCATCCTAGCAGCCCGGACCCCGTCCCTTGCTGTTAATAAGCTGAGGCTTGCTGGTTAGGCACTCCCACCCTCAGGGCTCCCAAATGGAGGCACAGGAGGTCCCCACAGCCAGGGAAAGGGCTCCAGGAGCTTCGTTTCTGGCTCCTCCTGGATGAAGAGTTCCTCTCCTCCACTACTGCTGGGAGTCTGGGCCTCCGCAGCTCAGAGCTTTGTCAAGCAGAGAGACTCACAGCTGAGGCTTTGTAACCTTAAGTGTCTTTGCCAATGGCGGCTGGCTTTCGAGGGTTCTGTCAGGTCGCCTGCCTTGAGTCAGCTCCCTCCGGACCCCAATCAGAGTGGGGTTTAAATGTACTCACAGCCCTGCAAGAACTACAGGCACACGCTCACAAACATACCCGCTCAGCCACAGCAAGACCACAAATATTCACAAACAAAACCACACTCCTTCTCGGACACAAACCCCCAGACAGTCAGAGCCATATTCAGACATCCAAACTCAACACTCAAATACATGACACCCCCTGTCTCCCAGTCCCCTTAGATGGGGACATGCCCATGCTTATGAATATATATGTAAATAAGACGCCACAAAGCCACAGTCACAGGTGTAACAGACACGTGGTCACCCAAACACATAGGACGAGAAACCCATACGTTTTCACAAATATACAGATTCACACCCACAGCCAGACTCAGGGTTTTGCCCAAGCACTGGAGTCCATCAGACCTAGTCAATTACTGCCTCTCGCTCTTCATGACTTTGTGACTCAACTTCTCTGAGTGTCATCTGTGAAATGGGGACGTGGAGGCCTCCTCTGGGAGGCCAGGGGATGTGGCAAGGCCATATGTGGAAAGCACCCCACAACCAGGAGGAGCTGGTGCCCCTTCTTCTCAGAATTCCATTTCTTTCTATTGCTCCCTTGAAAATTCTACTAGCCCTTCAAACTGCAGGTCAAACTCTACCTCCTCCAGAAAGGCTTCCTGGGCCTGCCCTGGACCTCGACCTCTAGACCCCCTGTGTGCTCATGTGGGGCTCACTTTGCATCAGAAAGACCAGTGGAGTAGCATGTTCACTTTCTCTCCTGCAGCCTATCCTCCCTCTAGCCTTCCTGGGACAGGGCCCAAGCCCCGCTCACTGCGGGGGCCTGGCAAAGGTTGTTGAGGGAGTAACTAAAGGGTGCACTCACAGTGCCAACAGCAAGATCTTCTACCCACAGCCAGCATGGTGTCTTTGGTCAGCTGAGGTGGCCCTCACATGGGGGATGAGGCTGGGAAATGTCTCCTGGATGTGGCCTCATGGAGGTCAGGTGGCTGGAGGACCGTGGTCTCGGTGGAAAGGGGAAGCCCTAAGCCTAGTGGAACGGGCTGAAAAGTGAATGGGGTGGTGGTGAAACCGCACAGTCTGGCAATGTTTTTTTTTTTTTTGCTGTGAAGCAAAGCAGGGCGGAAGGCAAGGGTGACATGGGGCCACAGAAAAGATGGCAAAAGGGGAGCTTAAGGAGAGAGTTTTGCTGAAGGTAGACTAGAAGGGGCTGAGGCAACTGCTGGATGTCCATGGAAATCGGTCTCCCTACCTTTGTCATTGTGATGGAGGTGTTTTGTGTTTTTTTGGTGGCAGGCCAGTATAGGGATCCAAGAGATAGAGGTTTAGGTTAGGCTATGAGAGAGGACATCTCCCAGCAACCTCGTGGGGCAGGATGAGGCCAGGTTTTTCCAACGGAATGTGCACAGAAGTGATGGGCACGCCTCCCCCTGCCTGGCTTCAAACACTAGGCTTCCCTGCTCTTCCCTCTCTTTCCATAGACATTCCTGTGACTCAGCTTCAACCAGGCAGACAGGAGCAGGGACAGCAGTAAGATGACACAGAAGGAAGCTGGGCCTCCGAATCTCTAAGTGGATCAGAGCCAACCCACAAACCTGGACTGCTCACCTCTGGACTCTTAAAGAGAGAGAAATACACATCGTATTCCTTAAGCCAATGAGCGCTGGGTCTTTTTGTTTTAGTAGCTTAACGTTTAGCTTTGATAATACGCACTCAACAAATGGAAGCAATTATCATGAACGCCACTACAGTAGAGAGGTAACACTTACTCTCCCAGGTGGTTGGACCACATGAAAAGCCTTTGAAAAGCAGAAATCACTCCATGGATGTGAGGGCTTCTTTCGGCTGGGCTGGCAGGATACCATTTGGCACAGCATGGCAGGGCACTCCCCCGGCCTGTGCTTGAAGTGTTTACCTGCTTGGTTGGTGGTGATGTTCACAGAGGCGAACTGAGGCGAGAAGGGGCTCTGGTCGGTGACTCCGTTCACAGCCTGGATCTCGAAGGTGTACTGCGTGTGGGCCAGCAGGTCGCTGATGTAAATGCGTGGCTCGGTCAGGCCCAGCTGGCGCGGTGCGTACTGCACGTTGTCCCCACAGCGGGTACAGGCGCCCCGGCCCGAGCCGCAGCTCTTGCAGATGATGTTGTACACGAGATCCTCACGGCCTCCTGAGTCACGGGGAGGGGTCCACTCTAGCATGAGGGAGGTCTCGTTGACGCTGGAGATCACAGCCTGGGGTGCAGAGGGGATGGCTGGGGAGGGGGAGAGGTGTTAGTCAGTGGGGACTGTGGGGGTGCTGTTCCCCAGGAGACCACTCTGTGCCCTCTGCCTGGCTCTACTCAGTCCTCCCAAAGGACTTCCTCAATCTTTTCTTCTCTCCACCCACCAGAGAGATGTTTCTAGAATATAACTTATCCTGCTGTGCTTAAGCCTTTCCCTTGGGGCTCCAACCTCCTCAGTGTTTGTTACTAGAAAGTCTTTTTGTGTTTGGGATTATACCTGCCCAATATCTATCTTCCTCTTCTTCCTTATAACAGAGCCCAATTTTATTCATGGTGACAATATGTCCAGCTAAGAGACTACAGTTCCCAGCCTCCTGTGATTAAGTGCTGGCCATTGATGTATATATACACAGGGCAGAAGTTGTTGAACAGACTGTTTCTTAAAAGGGAGACAGCTGTAGCATGTTCTTTTGTCCTTTCTCCTTTTTTGCTACCTAGCATGTGTGTGATGGCTGGAGCTTCAGCAGCCATTCTGTACTACAAAGTGACCTCAAGGATAGAAACCACATGCTCTGAATGGCAGAATGAGCGAGGTCCCAGAGATCATCATGGATTTGCCATACTGTTCCAGGACTGCCTACCTTGGACTCCTTTTCTGTGAGAGAATAAACCTGCACGGTGTAAGCCACTGGGGTCAGCTCTCTGCTACCTGCATTTGAACACCATTCCTGACTGATACAGAGGTTGCAATACTGCCCTCATAGTCAGCCCTTTCCTAGAGAACCTTGACCTGTGCTTCAGGCAGCTGCTGAAGCACACTATCACTCCCAAGCTGCCAGTTTAGAACAGCCTTTTCTGCCACAGACACCACCTGTGTTAGTTCTTCTCCTGCCAAGCCTTCTAGCCCCTGTCCCTTTGTGAATCAAGACCTTGACCTCATCCTCCATGCGAATTAGTGGGAGGGGGTAAAGAGGCAGATGCCAGCTCCATGGTGTCTCCACGGTGGCAGCATGACCACCCGACGACTGGTTTCCCATCTCCCCTCCCACCAGGTAACAGGTTGCTCTTCATGCAGGAAAGGCTGGCTGTAACCTGACAGTAGCCCAACCCTGGCTCTGAGATTTTCTGCAGGTGGACTCGGGACTCAGTCAGGGACCCCAGGACGCACTTGTGCAGGGCATGTCCAGGGGGTCTAAATCTGCTCTGTAGTAGCCGTTGCGGCAGACACAGTTGGTGGCCCCTTCTGAAGTGGTCCGGCTATTGATGGGACAGTGGGTACAGGCCTCGTCCCCTTGATTGGCCTTGAAGGTTCCAGATGGGCAACCTGGGAGAGAAGACAAGGAAAATCACCAGGGAAACCAGACGAAGATGTCTCAGGGAGGCCACGATGCATGGGAGGAACACGCAGCAGCCTTGCGGAGCCTTCTGGGTAGAGCTAGAACTGCCACGTTGTCATTGCTGGGAAACCCCATCTCTTGGAGCTTTGGGGGCCTCCAGGCTCCAACGTGGAGCCTGGCTCCAGCTTGGCAGTGTCACAGCTTCTAGGATCAACCCTGACCTAGTCAGGAGGCATCTGAAGAGGCTGGGGCAGTGTCCACAGGTCCTAGTCTTGCTTACTGATGTCTGACTGGGCCCTGATTCCTGTAACTAGACTCCTGGGTTCCAGACAATGTAGATGATCACACCACAGAAGAAAAGTCCCAGGACAGTGCAGGGCATGTATAGAGGTGATGGAATACAGCACAAAAGAACATTGCCTTTGGGACCGGGCAGACATGGGTTTGAGTCCCTGCTCAGCCTTTTTTTTTTTGTAACTACCTGTGTGGCCATAGATAAGTGGCTTAACGACTCTGAGACTCAGCTTCCTTATTTGGAAGATTATAATTCTAAGGTACATTTCTGCAGAGCCATTGTGAGTATTTTACATGAGTATGAAATGCACATGGTACAAGGCCTTGCAGAGTATAGGTGGCCAAACAACAGTAGCTGTTATTATACTTGGTGTTTGATCAATTTATCAAAATAAAGAGGGCCTGCAGTACCAGGACCAGCCTGAGGAGGGCAGTATTTATACTTGGCCCACATTCCGCAATCTGGGTTCTCCCAGGGGCTGTGGACTTCATCCCTGCTCTGAGGTCCAGGCCCTGCAGCTTGGAGCATGGGGTTAAATTCTACAAGAGGCAACCGCCCTTTGTGTTCATGTGTTTGAATCCATCCTCCCCTTCTTGCTGGCCCTGGGCTGGGAATCAGGAGGCTAAAGGTCCCTCTCCCAGCCTCAGCCTACTGGGGTTCACCATCCCAGCTCTGCTGTGATGCCTCGGAGGGATTGTGCAAGGTGTAAGTGAGTGGATGGATGAGAAAGAGCTCTGCAATAGACAAAATCCTCCTTGGGATGAAATGCGCCAAACCATCCACAGGCCAGGGGGCACAGGGTTGGGGAGGTGCTGCAGTTAGCTGGATGAAGTGTGCGCTTACTAGATAAGCCAAGGATGACTAGACAACAGTACCCCTGGGCCTTACCTTTCCTTTCTCTTGGAGGAGGCTTCTGGAAGGTGGGCCAGCAAAGATGGCAACCATGCTAACTAGCAGCCACTCTGGCTGATGCCACCCTGACCAGGCCCTGTGGGAATCTTGGCCCAGCTGTTGAGAAGCAAGGAGGGAGACAGGACTTTGACACAACCAGCCAGGCCACAGTGACACCAGTGAGAAGAGCTGGCACTGACCTAAGGACTCTACCCATATTAACTCATGTAAGCCTCACCTAGCCCTTTGCCGGAGGCAACGCTATCACTCCCATTTCCAGACGTGAAATGAAAGCATAAAGAGGTGAGGTGACTTTCCAAGGATGTGGCTTACAGTGGCAACACTGGAATCCAATCCCAGGCAGTCTGGCTCCAGAGGACACTTTTTGTAACCACCACACATACTGCCTTTTAAGCGACTTTGCACCAACAGTCCCTGAGGGTCAGGCAGGGAATGGCAGCTCCTGATGTGGGCGCCCATCCAGGGCTCTCTCCACTTGGCTGTGCTAGCTCTGGGGCCTCAGCCCTCCCTCTCACCTTCCAGTTAGGCACCAACCTTACTCTGCTGTCTGGGTGGAAGGGCAGCCCACCATCTTGGTGCTGCCCAGGGCTCCTGGGGCAGTCAAGACACTCAGGCTGCAGCCCTGGCTCTGGTTGAGTGGTTGACATCTATGAGCCTCAGTTTCCTCCTCTGTAGAATGGGGGCACAGGGCTCCTGTGAGGGTCTAGAACCATCCTAATAGATGCCAAAGAGTTTTGGCTCCAAGATCAGGACACTCCTGGCTTCCTCCCTGGAGAGAGCCTGCCCAGCTCATCCTTCTCCATCTGCTGGCCACTCCCTGGGCCCGGCTGGTGGGTGGCTGCTCCCCTCTGTGCTGTGCCAGCCCCTCCATCTGGATTGCCTACTTGGCTGTCCCCCCCAATGTCTTGGCCCCCTCTTGGCCTCCCCAGGGTGCCCCTCCCACAACTGTCCTCATTAGCTCCGCTGTCTGGTCACCCTCGACCCTCCCACTGGGCCTTCTATCATTTCTCTATCTGTGACACTGTGCTTTGTAAAACCCGCTCTTGTCTGTCCTTGGAGGTGGCATCTCTCTCCACCGGTCCCTCCCCCCACCCCCACAGCCAATCAATTACCAGGCCTTCCCTCCGCAGCACTGTCCATCCCAGCTCTTCTTGGCCTCCTCCCACCCCTGCAGGCTTCTAGAAAGCTCTTCCCTCCCACTCAGCCTCTCACACCATCTGGCCTCCTCCCGCACACCCTCCAGCGCCAGTCAGCTCTCTGGAGTGCAAACCTTTCCACGTCACTTAAAAATCCACAGTGGCAGACAATGGAATATTATTCAGCCATAAAAAGGAATGAAGCACTGACACATGCTGCAGCACGGATGAACCTTGAACACATTGTGCTCGGTCAAAGAAGCCAGTCACAAAAGTACGATTCCATTTATATGAAATATGTCCAGAATAGGCTCATCTAAAGAGACAGAAAGTCGATTAGTGGTTGCCAAGGGGGAGAATGGGGAGTGACTGCTAATGGGTAACAGTTTCTTTCTGGGATGATAAAAATGTTCTAAAATTGATTATGGTGATGCTTGCTCAATTTTCTGAATATACTAAAAACCATTGAATTGTACAATTTAAATAGGTGAATTGTATGGTATGTGAATTATATGTCAATGAAACTGCTATTAAAAACCTCCCCAACAGATTCCCTTCGCCCCTGGGAAGCCCAAACTCCCCACAGGTCCTCTCAAACCCTCAGGGGTCTTAGTTGACATTTGAGGAAACTAAGGCTTAGAAAGGAGCAGACAGACATGGCTCTTTGGTAGGACAGGCAGATTCTGATCCCAAGTCACTGTGTGGCCATGAAGTGTGCTGGGGCCTTAGCTCCTATCAGCTCCCTTTCTCCCCCAAGAGTTGTGGGCTCATCTGGTGGCCACCCATCCACAGTGCCCTGGGGACCACACTGCTCCAGCTTCTCTGGGCTGGGAAAGCACCTGTCCTGCCAACACCTGAGCCTCACGAGCAAAATGGGAAGAGAACAGTGAGACCTGAAGACACGTGGGCAGCTGTACCTGACAGGCTTGGATAGGTCTCCTCACCTGCCAAGGGGGCTGATGACACCTGCGGGGTGCAGATGACAGGAAGAGACTCTGCGTGGGTCTCTCTGCTCCACTTCTGACTCCCTGCCTTCCTCCCCAGTCAAATCAGAGCTGCCACACCCTGCTTAACCTTACCAGTGGCTCCCACCACACTCAGAATAAATCCACACGCCTTCCCCAGCCCACAAAGACTGTGAGGTCGGCCCTGGTGGTCTCCTGGCCTGTTTCGTGTCACCGTCGGCTTGCTCACTGAGCTGCAGCTGGGGGTGGCGTGGGGGGGGTGTCAAGCATGTTTGCACTCCTTTGGCTTTGCTGTACCCCTGCCTGCGCTCTCCCTGCTGTTCCCACAGCTGGTTCCTTTTCCTCCTTCAGGCCCTGGCTTAAATGTCACCTCCTCAGAGAGGCCCACCCTGACCACCTGGCTAAAGGGATCCCTTCTTGCTGTCATCCATCTCAGCCTCTGTTTCCTTCCCTCACCACAATTTGTAATTATATTTGAAAACAGTTTGTGAACGTGTGCATTGTCTTTTCCCTGCACGAGAAGTACCTGGGGAGGGGAAGAGGAGCCAGCTTCGTCCGGATCTCACTGATTCCCCAGCTCCCAGCAGAGTGGTGGGCCCATGGCAGGTGCTCAATATCTATTGGTTGAATGAACGAATTGTCCCCTTACTGCTGTGAGGATCAGATGAGACAGTGGGCGAGGAGATACTCAGACAAGTAAATGCCTGTTTCATTACCACCAGTATCACCTCGATCTCATCAGGCTGTCCTCCCCATGGTCACCCAGAGGCCTGGTCACTAGGGTGACCAATCATTCTCGTTTTCAAATGGGAAGTCCTGTATTCCAGAAACTCTCCTAGTCATAGGCAAGTCAAGAGGGTTGACCACCCCACTGCACACCTCTCCAGCCCCATCTATCACCTTTCTCGTCTGCTTGCCGTTCCCAAGAGGTTCTGGCCGCATACACGGGTCCCTTTGCCTGAGTGCCCTTCCCCCCACCTCCTGGCTCCTTGGATTTGTAAACCTGGTGTGTGCACCTCTGGGAAGCCCACCCTCCATCCTCCTACGGCAGCCAACTCAGACCTCCACCGAAGCACACAAGACATGCTCCATGTGCAGTGGTGTGCTGGTAAGCTGGCTGTTTGGGGAAAAAAAAAAAAAAAAAAGCCCTGATTTGTTGTGCGTACTAATTTCTGTGGTGTAAGTGCTCCCACCAGAGAAAATTCTAAGCAACCAACTTGAGATCACTGAACACTGAGTTGGGAAAAAATGTGCACAGTCAGCTCCTGCAAACCAAGCTGGTACAGCCCACCACTGGCCTTAAATGACAGGTGACTTTTTTTGTCCACAGGTTGGTAAGCCTTGGTTGGGGTAGGGACTGGGTTGTTAATCTCTACATCCCCAGCACTGAGCACTAGATCTGGCACATAGTAGGTGCTCAGCCAATTCAATTTGCTGAAGGGAGGCAGGTGTCTCCCCACCTGGACAGTGAGCAACTCATGGGGCAAGGTATGTGGATTTGAATGTGTGGATACACACAAAGCACTTAGAACATACAGCAAGTGCAATGTACATGTCAGCTACTATTACTCATCCAGCAGGTAAAGACAATAATAATTCCCATGTACTACGTGCTTTCCAGGTGCCAGGCTCAGGGCTAAGTGCTTTATGTGGATTCTCTTAATCCACATGACCTCCCA